ATCATCGGCCAGAGCATGAGTCAAGATGATGCGAATCTGTGGGTCACCAATTGGACCAACGGCGAGGTTGAGTCGTCGAAAGAGCCGGAACAAATTGGCAAAGCCGCACATCCCATCAGGGTCCCGCTGTTCCATGTAATGAACCTGGAGAGAATTCTGATCAATATCAGCCGTACGGATGATGTATCCAATCATTTGATGCACCAGATGCCTCCAAACTGGAGGGATGGTGAGGATGAGTTGGGTGAAGGCATCATAGCAGCAAAGCTCAATGATGATCCAGTGGTTCTGGGAGGCAACAAACCACACCACATGCCTGTATGACTGGTAGGTTGGTTGAAAACCATTGAGAAATCGCAACTCTCCAGTGGAATGCTCCCACACAGCCGGCGGGCAAAACAATGTGTTGGGCTCGTAAAACCGCAGGATCTCCAATGTATAATCGATTTCATCTGATGTTGCCCAACCAGGATGCTGACTGAACACTTGGAGTCTTGCTGCAATGCGCTCCGGAAGAGAAGGGGGGTCCTGACGGACCATCACAATCTCACGATGTGGAGGCTCAGGAATACCAACAACAAGCTGTTGCTGAGGAACAGGCTGTCCAATGCTTTGCCTGCGAGCCAGGAACCATAAGAAATTCTTGCGAAGGCGAACTGCCAAGTATCCCATGTTGTGCGGCATACCGTTGGAGGTCCAATCCTCAATGGAACACTGCATGCACATCTCAATTGTCTGGACATACTGATCCGGAAGGTTGTACTGTCGGGATACATCAGCGATCTCGTCCATGAGGTGCAGCTGCTGAAACCATCTTTGCAACAGAGTCCATCCGCAGAGATGGGGGATGTGCTCGGTCATTTCAGTCTGGACTTCGATGCGATGAGGACCAATGTCCAAAATACGGGCCATGATGAAGGTAGCACGAGTGACAAGGTGTTGTGGCATTTGTACCATCACCACACGGGCGTTGTCTCCTTGCCTGTGAATCTCACATGCAGCCCAGTGATCTTGGACAAGGATGGGAAGAACTGTGGTGGAGTTGTTGTATATGTGCACTTCTGTCCCATCATCTTCAAAATCGGGCTTCGATGGATCCCACAACACAGGAGGAGCAAAATGATGTGTTTGCTGACTCCATTGGATGGTTTGTGTCATGGCACACATCTCGTCGGTAGCAAGCCATCCATTGGTATTGCACATGAATTCAGCTCTGGCATTGAAGTCAGTACCTTGGGCTAGCCTTGGGGGTGGCCCTGCAGCTTGATGATGGCCTCCTGCTCGAATCTCTGGCATCGTGGTCAATGACATGACCTGATCATCAGGCCAGCTTTGTAATTGCTGTGGATCACATGGGCGGAGTGCAACGTCACACCTCTGAAACTTGATGTTGGGAAGGCCATCGGTGTCAACCTGCACTAAATGGAACTCTCCACAGTCCACAATGTAGACAACTCTCACAGGCACGCTACTGGGGTGAATCACCAGGTGGGTGCAGTGTTTACCACCAGAGTGAATGCCACTTGAGTCAAAGATGCGTCCACCAATCTGCGACTGAATGGTTGCAGCAACCGATTGAACCTCTTCAACAGATCCCCAGCACTGGAAATGGAAGTCACTGTCTTCTTGCAGGATCACACATGTGGCCAACGCAGCATTGTAGGTAGGTACCAGACCTTTGCAGAGGTCAGACAGTGTGCAGAACCATTGGCTCTGTACAATGCAGTCGAACTGAGGTGCAGGTCGGATCACCACATGCTGTTCCGCCTCAAACGGAATGGTAGGAGAAATCTCGATGACCTCGGTTGTGCGATGGTGCGACAGCGTGCATCGGCCGAGAACTGTTGATGCAAGGACAATTTCCCACTCATGTGCCTTGGCCGCAAGAAGGCCAATGGGCATTGTCATGCTGGATTGCATATCCTCAGCTCGAAAATACATCTGCATGACGAGTTCTTGCGGTCCATGGATATGCTTCAGGAGGAAATCATGAGCAATCACCTCAGCTGCGGCGGAAAAGCAAAATTGGGACTGATCGATGTTGCCTAGGCATTTGACATCATGTTTGCTAGGAGTCATCGGCTGGGAGTCAAATGAAATCCACTCGGGGGCCTGGGTGGCCCGAATGAGGTGAACAAAGCCCTGATGTTCGAACATGATGGAGTTGTGGCTTCTGAATCGCTCAAGCCAGCTCTTGCGGACCAAATGAAGGGGGTCAATCTCGACCTGACCCACTGAATGCATGACCACTCCTAAGGCAAGCACTGCTTGTGGCACTGAGATGGCATTGCCTACAATGCGAAAAGCTTCAGGGACCTTAGTCGGGAGGACCACATGTGTCTGCGTGCCAAAGAGTAAGCAAAAATGACCAGGGTCGAAAAATTCAAATCCCCGGGCTGTCCGTTTGAGGAAGGTAAACAGGCCTCGCAACTGGACATGATGCACTGCCAAGAGATGTTGTGACGAGTACGAAGCACATAGGGTTGGTAAAGGTTGGTCAGAGGCCGGGACCCTTTCCCACAACACTTGGTGAGCCCTGGTTGGCATGGTGCCACGATGAACTCTTCCAGACCGAGGGAGCAGGTCCGGATTATCATAAACGGCACACTCGGACTCAGTCAGGCACAATTGCGGTCGCCAAACACTCGGGATGACCACATGATTCGAGGGGTCATCCCATGGGCAGCGAGGGCTGTGTCGGAGCGGAAAAGAGAATCCTACGAACTGTGCATTGACATCGAAACGACACCAAGCAGCGAGCCAGCGAGTACGGCAGTGGTGTGCCATGTGATGCAAAGGGGTCACCTGCTTCCACACCAGCCTATAGCCGGCAGATTGAAAAAGCAGCTCCACAAATCTAAAATGTTCATGTTCTACGATCTCGTCGGAGCATTCGGCTACGATGCATACAGGCTGAAGTACCACCGCAAGCTGGACAGCATCGATAAAAGCCCAGCCGTTTCGGTCTGCCAGCCCAAGGTGTTTTCCACCTTTGGACCAAGACTGGCATGGTGGCGACATGGAAAGGCATAAATTGGACTGTACACGGAGGACATTCGCTGGTGTCCAATCAGCTACAGAACCATGCAGTCCAACGTGTTTCTGAGACGGCCATTCGGTGGACCAGTGCACAGGACATGTGAATGGCCTTGCGGCATGCTTCACACTCCAAAGCTGCATGACCTGCTCGTCAATATCCAGCTCGAACTCTTGGCCCAGACAAAAGGCAGACTCAGTGCGGTCCAGAAAACTTGTGGCCTGTGCCCATCCCGAGTAGGCTCCGGAGAAGCAATGGAACAGGTTCCACGGCATGTGTTTGTCAAAATCCGGCCTGAAGGTAACAACCACGTCCTCATCATACTGGATGAAACCTTGTTGGATGCTGGAAGTGTTGCCTGCACAAAGAACATGGACACCCTTGGAGAGGCTGATCGAGCGACCAGCCAAGGATGGGACCTTCACAGCAATCTTGGAGTTTGAGAGACCCTCACGATCAAAGCCTACCCCCGGCTTGAAAGGAAAGGGTCCCACCATCATCGTGTCACCTGAGATGAGGTCCACCTCACCAGCGATCAACAAGCGAGAACCAAGTGTCAACGTCGGTCCAGAGCTTGAAAAACAGGAGAAGATGGATAGAATGTCAGCTTTCAACGGATCCTGCAGGATGCGATCGGCGAGAGCCAGAGCATCATCAACCGCCATGGCAAGAATACAAAACACGGCTCGAGCGAACTAGGAATCACAGTTCCAAGGGTGGGATCTGGAAGGCAGTCCCTCTTCGACGCCGACCCACACCTTGGGGGTGTGCTACCGGCCCCGGGCACCCGTATGCCCCAGCCTTTTGGGGCATTTGAACCCCAGCGGCTCCTTACAATATCTTACAATTATGGACAGTAGCTACAAGCTATAAAATGTTGTTTTGATGATCTTTGATTCCTTATATAACGTTTGAAACTGGTACTCTTGACCCTTGACGTTATATGTAAGTCATCTATCCAAGCATGTTCCCTCGGCTATATCCACCAAGACCACCGAGCCAAGACTCTGATCAAAGTCATGACCGAAGACCAAGCGTTGCAGACTCTCCGGGAGTTGCACCTGGATAGTCTGAGGTGAAGAAACCAGTTCACCGTCGTGAACAGCACGATGGAACGGGCCGGGTGTGGATCAGGAAAACTAGGTAGAAAACAAACCCAACAAAGTACCTTCCTTTTCTCCACGGACCCTCATCCGGGCTTGGGGATACTCAGCAATTTCACACGGTGATGTCAAGAGTTGTGGGGTCCGCCAAAGTGAATCGAAAGGTATCAACAGTCCAATGCAACTTTCTAGCAAAAAAAGTCCAATCCAGTCCAAATATCAAAAAAACATCTATACTAAAATATACAGTAGGTGAAATCAAGAAATCCATCCTTACAAGTGGGCAGCATGTGGGCAACCCTCGAAATGATGAGTTTGAAACCGCCCCAGGGGCGCTCAAAAGCTTCAGCTCCAAAAAAACTCCGACTCGCCAGCTGTGTGTCAGGAAAAATCAAGTGTGTATATAACATTAAAAGAACCAGCACAATCAAGATACCATGAATAATGATACAAATATTCAGAAAATACCACATGATTCGCATGATAAATCAAATTCTTCTGGCATGATAAATCATAATCATAAGCATGCTACAGCTACCCACAAGTCTTCTTCCCAGCGACCTGTTTTGCTGGCAGTTCAAACTTCTCTACCAAGAGTCAAAGTGAGAACTTTGCTGCCAAACAAGTTTATTGAACCATTTGCACAAACGCACAAAGATAAACACAAGACGCAAATGCCCACTCTGCTGAAATACCTCCACACAACCCCCTGAGGGATCAAATCCATGATCCATGCGGCCTTGGGGGGGCGCCAACTGTGGCGAAGCTGCACAAAAAAAAGCAGGGTCAACGGCTCCCACATGGCAAAGACACTCGTTAGACCCTCCGAGTCGTCCCATAAACCGTTCGACCCATAACCGTTAGAACGCGACAGTTCGGAAACAACCCTGCTCAGTCGTTGGGCGCCCAGTCACAGCCTCCAAGCTGTGATTGAACTCGTGGCCAAAGATGAGACTCTCCAGGCTGCTTGGTAGGTGTACGTTCGTCAGAGGTTGAGCAAAATCGTGTCCAAAGGTCAGCGTCTTCAATGCAGGTGGAAGTCGTACATGCCCAAGGTCTTGATTGAAGTTGTGTCCAAAGGTGAGGCTTTGCAAGCGATTTGGAAGAGTCACATGTTCCAAGCCTTGATTAAATCGAAAGCCAAAGGCCAAATGGTGAAGGCCATCTGGAAGATTCACCCGCTCCAAAGTCCTGGAAAGGTGCTTGCGCAAAGCAAAACCATCTAAACGATCTATCTCTGTGTAGGGCAAACGAGTTCGAAGCACTGGATAAAAAGAGTGTGCAGTCAACGTGATCAAAACACTGGACAATGGGTCCTCTATCAATGAAGCATGGTCCTACGCAAGAACAACGCTAGACCCCACGAAAACACATGGGATTTCATGACATCTACGGTACCGCAGTCCATATCTCTTGCGTCCAAGGCTCTGATTGAAGCGGTTTTGAAAGGTTAGGGACCGGAGGGAGCTGGGCAGACGCACACGTTCCAAAGCATCAATGAGGAGTCTGGAATACTGCCTCAGAACCAGTTTGCTCCAGTTTGGACAATTAATGAATCTTGATCTGTTTTCCAGCGGGGAATCACCGAACAACACCTGGGAGGAAAACCATCATACCCACTAAACGGGTTCTTGGATTCTGAAAGCTAAAGTGACCTCAACATGTTTACTGCAACCAGGCAACCACCACTAGTCTTGGCATGCACTTTAAGCGATGTGCAGTGGCGGCAGGCGTGGAGTTCCCCAACGCCAAACACCCTACGACACTCTTTTCGGAAGAAGCCTTGTGGATGGAGACTGCCGCTAGTTGCAAGCGTGGCTTGGTGCATGTTGGGTAGATGGATGTGTATTTGAATCGGGAGCCCCAGTTCGACCGCCTGGAAGAAGCAGACCGACACACAGCCAGGCCCTGGGGTCTCCTTATTTGCAATACACACCCAAATGCTGGCATGATTCTGTTTCTATAGCCTCTCCAGTGGCCAGGCCCAAAGTACACTGAGTCCCTAGTGCTTCAAGCAGCTCCTATAGCTGGTAGAAGTACATTTGTAACCTTCAATATCTTCCTAGAATCCATTGGACCCTGTTTTGATACGAAAAAGGCAATCATATACCTGGTTGCTTGGTCCAAATCAGAAGTCACTACGTCACTATAGCTGTAGCGCTGTTTCGCTGCGCAGCAAACGCTGGAGCTCGCCTCGATCGATTCTGGGGTTCTACCGGGGTTCTACTCTAATCTCTTTCGCTACAATATTAATGACTGTATCACGTTCTGTCGCACATGTACCCACCAAACGCTGTAAAAAGTTCATCAACAAATGGCACGGCCCAAATCCCCCCCAAGAGGGCTTCTCGATGTACGCCTTTGGCTAGCAATGGAAATGATCAGAACTGCGCTGAATATACCTTTTTCAGGAGTGAAAGAAGGGATCAACATCATCAGGCTCGACTCGGCTCGAGCTCGTCCAGTTGCAATCGTGTCATCCCCTCGAGCGCTTCTTCGTCGTCCCAAAGGCCGCGAAGCCGCTTCCAAGAAGACAACCTACATGCCGGAAAAAAAAAAAAAAACACACACACACAAGCAATAACAATAACACCTGCTACTAGTATGGGCGATGGCGGCGATGGCAGAAAAAAAGGACCTCTTTGCATCAGGTGTTTGTTCTGTCTCGTCCTGTCGTAGATGGGATTTCTATCAAGTTTCATGACCCAGTCGACCATGAGAACCCCCGAAGGTCGTCCTTTGAATCCCTACCGCGTCTATTCATGCCGATCGAGTAGTCGATCCACAAACCTTCACAAGACCAAGTATAGTGCCAATGTATTCTGCCATGGTTTGGGTATACTTGGGTATGTTCCATCACCAGGGCCCAGTGGATGACGATGAATAGTCATCAAGGCCTTTCTCTAAAATAGTGATGCTTGTTTGTTTATATTACATACTGTTACGTGTAGTTGGACAAACCCAAGCCATGGCAATAATCAACCCAAATCAACCACAAAAAGGTCCTGGAATTATTATGGAAGTTGAAAATTAAGGAACATGGTCCCTTGGATGGATCCGTTTCCTCTACGAACCGCTAGTTTTCCACTGCCATGATGACTATATAACTCATTATAATCCTATATAACTTATGTACCTCTCACCAAAGTGGTATGGAACTTGCCCTGCTGTCCAAATAGAACAAAAAGAACCAAAAGAGAAGGAACCACAAGATTTGATTGAAGCAGGATTTCACTCAAGCAAATGGGTGGTGTCGTGATGTGTCACCTGGTGTCCCTCCAGTTTGCTTTTACCTGCAAGACCTTCTCTGCCCATCCTGGAGTCCCCAATCTAAGCGTCGGGCATGTTTGCGGGAGTATAGATGTAGTGCAAGTCGGTAGCGCCTGACCCATACCACACACCTTTCCACTCAGACACGTCAAGTGGAACGAGGCTTGACTTTGAAACAGGATATTCTGCGAGTACCCTTTGTTCCTTTGTTCAACAAAGGACATGACACAAACTGAATGGATCTGAGTCCTTTCATCCTTACAAACTGAATTGCTCTTCACCGAACGCGTCCCGAACCTCTGAGTCGAAGCAGTCCACCGTTTCTGTTCCTGGGCCCCTGTCGATGCTACTCGTTGGTCTCCGCCGGGATGCCGACCGATGCCGATGCGTCATGAAGTGGAAGGGTGTGAGGTGATACCACCATAGACCAAACATAGGTGATACAAGTACCGGCATGCATTCAGCGTGAACCACCGTTGAACTTACTCAGGTTTGACCCAAAACATCCCAAAACCCATTGTTCAAAACCCTGTGAACATTCCATTCATCTATGCCTCCGATATGACTAGTCTACCACCAAATGATGATAATGATGTTCCCTCCACCACTCAAGGGCTCGTCCCAGTCTCCTTGCATCCCCTGCTCCATCAAACTCTCCTCGAGCACCAGTGCAGAAACGTGGTGAATCCTGAGAATCAATTCTGTTTTCACAGCACAGTAGTCCGAACAAACATGTTCTGACAGAAAAAAGAGTCCTGAGAGGCCTCTGAGAGGCAACAGTTTTGACTATTCAACCTTGAATGTTTAAAATGCCTTTTTGATCCTATCAGGTTCCATAACTGCGGGTCGTAGGTTGGAGGCCAATCCTATTAGCTATCCATGTTGAACTGGGACGCTATTTGGGCGCGACGACCCATGGGGCGAATCCCCCGTGGGTCGAGCGTGAGCTATTTTTGATTGAAAAGCAAACAACATAAGAGAAGAAACACTTGAAACATCTTGAAACAAGTTGGAAAGCCAAGCATCAACGAGATCACGCTGCCCTGCCTTGTTGCAAGACATGAACTCGATCGACTCGATAGAAACACCACTCGCAGCAGTGAGATCTCTCATTGCTGCACAACAAATAATGTTCAGGCCTAGAATAGAGGTTCTGCATCATTTCCCAAGCCACTTTGGGAAGTATCAACTATATAACCCATTGGAGTGCTTCTGTGGGTAAGTCAGTACCTGGCTTCAGACATCGTTTGAACATGGAGTTTGAACTGCCGACCCTTAAAAGGACCCCTGCAGCACTGGGAGAGCTATTACCATGCAGGTTAGTTCAAACTTGCTAATTCATCGGAATTCATCGGATACAAAGTAAATATATGTAAAAATTCCATCATTCTCAATCGAAGGACTTACAACAAGAGGTGTCGTTTCTGGTGTCAGGCAAATGGCAGGAGTATCCCCGGGTCAAGCGATTTGATCAGCGCAGGGAGTCCGTTGATCACCCGAACTGTCACCGGCAAGAAGCTTAAGAAAAACACCAAAATTATTGGATATGTTGATCTTTTTTCGCACTCAGTGGCAACTCCAAACTTTCAGGTTGTAGAGATTGAATATCATTGAATCCCGTGCACTAGCTGCTCTAGCCTAGCTGCTTGAAGGGCAGCATGTCACGGATCATCGCCAAAAGCTCTCTCCCAAGCAGCCAATCGTCCACTTGAATGCTGAAGTCATAGTCTTGCAAACCTCGCTCCCCAGCGGCACATTTAAACAAACAATTTTTTTGCTTCATCAGGACACCTGGAAACTCAGTTAGCACCAACAAAACCCAGACACTCCATGTATGACATATATATCATATATCATATTTACATACATTGGGGTGGTTTCAGGGGTCAATGTAGGTAACTATTCCATACATGGAACATTTGGGAAAGAGAAAAGTTAAACACAAACGACGTGCCTTTCACCTTTCACTGAGTGAGGCACGCCTGGCCGCGCGTATGGCCCTCTCATGACTCATGGCTCATAAGGAATGACATTGTTTGTTTGAAGGAAAAA